CTTATCTTTGTATGTGCGTCTCTTATTGTGGAGACTTCTGCTTTATGGATTAATTTTGATCCCCTGCGCTCCCCGATTATGTGTTTGTGTAAATTCCTCCTTACTTGTGAAGTCATGATTTTAGATTTTTGCATATGCCTGGTGTTGCTTTCCTTCTCTGGACATCTTGCCGTCTAATAGTTTTACAGTTTTCATATTTTTCTGATGCATCCATTTCAGATTGTAGCCTTTCATTGAAACAAAGAGATTAATATCTTGTCCTTGCATTGTTAACTAAAATTGTTACTAGATTAAAATAAAAATCGAAACTCTCCCTCAACTAGGGGATTCGTATGGTATAACTATTAAAAATTTCATACTTTAGCACAATTATTATAAATTTCATTCTGTAGTACGATTATTTAGAAAACATTAAAAAAAAAAAGTGTAGAATAGAAAGAATTTCCATCATTCTAATTCAGAGATTACTGCTAATTATCTGTTAATTGGTCTCCTAGGGATGTTGGCACTTGTCTGCGCTCCATCTACATGGCCAAAGGGATTTGGTGGCATTGTCAAACTGTCTGCTTCTCCTTCCAACATATGAACCACTGATTTCATTGATGGTCGGTCTGTTGGGTACCACTGGATGCGCCAAAGTCCAACAATTGTAAGTTTTCTTGTTATCTTGGCATGCCCCTCATTTTCTATTCTAATCCCCAGCACTTCTCCTCTCTCCAAGCAATTATACACCCATTCTGGGAAATAAACTTGGCTTGTACTCCCCACTGTGATGTCAATATTCTTCCTCCCCCCTACCATTTCCAACAATAGCATTCCAAAACTATAAACATCTGATTTATATGACACTTTTCCAAAGTTCCTAGACAGTACCTCAGGCGCAATATATCCCATTGTTCCTCTGGCTGCTGTCATAGAAACAGCCCTTTGTTCTTTGGAACACAGCTTTGCTAGACCAAAGTCGGAGATCTTAGGATTGAAGTGATGGTCTAGCAAGATATTGTGAGGCTTGATGTCAAAATGAAGGATTTGTTTATCACAACCTTGGTGCAAGTACTCAATTCCTTTCGCTATTCCTATTGCAATATCTTGAAGATTCTCCCAACTGAGGGAACAACTTTGGTCTCTGGTTGCAAAGATCTGATTCATTTGGCATGTACTCGTAAGCAAGAGCTCTTTTATTTCCATCTGCACAAAACCCAATCGAGCGAGTGACATTGACATGATGGATTCGGCACATTGATCCAACTTCATTAATGAATTCTTCTCCAGTTGCTTTGAAATTGTTGAGGACCTTAACAGCAACCAAAACATCATTTGAAAGCAGTTCCATAAGCACCTTCTCCTAGTTTGTCCTTGAACTGATCTGTTATTCTCTTGATATCAGCATAAGAATATCTTGAGGGCTTGAGTACTTTGTAATCCTCCAGAAATTTCTCAATCTTGAGTTGGCCCTCTTTCTTTGATCTATATGAGTGGTGCGCACGGTAAAGTCCAATGAGGATTATTACAAATATAGACCGAAACCTAGGATTATGCCCGCAACCAATAGCATTTTCCGCATAACTGCAAAACGTTTCAACAATCAGCAGCTTGATGTGTTTATCAAATCAAAAATAAATATATAAATAAATAAATAAAAGGAAGAAAGAAACAAAGAAACAAAGAGAGAGATCCATATAAAAGCAAGTCAAAACCAAAGTACCAAAGTAACAACACCAAGGCAATTGAACAACTAAAGTAAGGAAAAATTTCAACAACTTAAAACAAGGCAAAATTAAAACAGCTAAATTAGTGAGCATTGCAATGAGTATTCATAACATTGTGGAATGGTTAAAAGTATAAGGTTGTAGTTTTGAAGTCTAGACTGGCTAAAAAGTGTCAGTTTGTTTGGGAATGACCAAAATATCATTCATGAATCTACATGCAAGTCATAATAACATTTATGTGAAAGCATACCTCTTTGATTCTTGGTGGTACCATAACACTCTGTGTCATCCTGTATCCTATTATTATTCTTCAGCTTGCATTTGCTGCCTCCTTCTTCACATTTACTACAATCTGGTTGGGACCAACTCAAATGAACATCCCCTGTCTGGTAATACAACATATCTTCGTATACCGCTGTCTCCGATATGTTGAGTAACGTTCTCCTACAACTTATCAAGTTAAAAGCAGATGTAGAATCGGAAGGAAAAGCTAGAACTTGGAAGCCTGGGACGCTTAAGCAAGGAATCTCGTAAAATTCATAATTAATACCCACAGTTGCTTCCCTTGAACAATTGAAAAGATTGTACTTTGACTCGGCAGAATTGAACCGGAAGGGAGTTAGTCTCAAGTACTGGAAGGGAGATGCAGATAAATTGAGATTGGGAAGTTGCAAGGGAAGGCAACCCTGAGGATCATATAACTGAATCCTCTGTGCTTTGTAATCTATACGCTTCACGAACAACTTTACATTCCGTGGCAGCTTGAGCACAATCTGCTTTTCTTCGCAGGAGAGTTCAAACCCATGATAGCCGCAGTGTTCCGGTTGCTGTCCCTTTAATTGGAACGGGAACCGGATGGTATGGTGGTATGCTTTCGAGGATTTATGCCCATTTAATCAGTTAATTAATTAATTTCAGTGTATATGATGTACACGCAATATTAGGGGATGCAATGTGGGATCTAGTCTTCAACTTTCAATATAATGAGACTTGAGAATAGAATTTTTGTAGGGGAAGAGCAAGTATTTTCAGTTTCTATGAGGACAAAGTACCTGAAGCGGAAAGTGCAAGGCTCTTCTAAAACTTGCATCCGGCAATCATGTACTTGCTAGGGAGGTTGAAGGGAAAACCGTTTTTGTCTTTCTTTTGATCCGACAATAGTTGTTCCTTTCTCGAACCTCTCTCGCATGTGTTGATGTTTGATTTTGAAACTTTTAATTTGCGCTTGGGCAATTAGAAAAAGTATGTGAAGATAGAAAGATATAGATATATGTTGGCTGGGTTTTCTGGTTTTACATTGCTGTCACAGAAATTTGGGTTGCAGATTGCTGCAGATTTGCATCTTTTTTTCATTGTCATTCTATTTTTAAAATTTCTGTTCCTTAATTATGATTTTTTAAATAATCTTTAAACAAAAAAGTATTTTTTCAATAGTGATTATATTTTTTTATGTAATTCAATTATTAAAATTATTAAAATATTTTTAATAAAATAACTTTTTATATTTATTTATTAATAATATTTTGATAATTTTAATATTTAAATTATAAAAAAAGTATAATCTATATTAAAAAAATATTTTCCCATCTTTAAATACAATTATTTAAGTTTATTGGGTTAAAAAATTTAGAGGTTAAGAATCTATAGTAATATTAACTTTTTATGTGGCCAATCAACTTGCTCCATTTCATCAATTTGCTTCAATTTGTTGTTTAAACTAAAAAAGTTGGGCCACTAAGGCAGAGAAGGCCTATAGGGAGACAGAGTTGACCATTAGCCATGTTTTGTTATCAGTGTCAGCTTTGCAATCTGGGTCCCATCTAATACTGCGCTGTCAATGGCTAACGGAGAACAAAGATTTCACGTGCAATACGTGACTCCGAACGTTAAATATTGCCACATTTCATCAAATAAAGTAATTGAAAGGCGTAAATTCTTATAATTTATAAGGTGAGGGGTCATCAAACTTTATAAGTTGAAGGGCAATCTATGGGTTTTTTTTTGCCTGTAACCAACATGGATACCAACATTCAAATCTTTAACCCACGAGCCAGATATCCTAGAGGGAAATATACCTACAAGACCCCAACATTCAAATCTTTCAAACAACCAAGACGAAGCACAAATATGGTAATAGTATCCCCCAAAAAGTAAAAACATGTGAGATCCACCTTCGACGATCTCAAAAATGAAGAATGTGAAATGGGACAAACCAAGGCTCTGTTCTTAGATTTGCTCCTTCTCCTTCTCTTCTTAGTTGATAGATCTTCTGTGGCGGGAAATGGGTGTAGGATTTTGGGAGATTAAGCGGAAAATTAGAAGTGAGTTTACATTTGTAAAGGCCCAGGTTGGCTTACATATACAAAAGAGCCCAAAAACGAAGCCCAGATAGGTTGTCCACGTAGTCCCCTACCACCTTCGTACTTTAAAGCCCATAATTGTAAAGAACCAATAAGAGCCTTCGTACTTTCACGGCCTCCTCCATCTCCCTCCGCCGGCCCATCACCGATAGGAACCCGTGGAACATGCACGTGAAATTCCGTGAATCGTCAGTTTTCTCACACGTTCTCTCTCCAAAACCCGAAACGACAACGTTTTCCTCAGACTTCACCGTTGATGAAGACAATGCCAGCGACCTCTGAAGACTCAGATTATCCTCCTTGTTCTTCAGTTGCAAACTCTTCATCAGACGATCATCGCTGCCGGAGATAATTCCGTTAACGTCACCGTTCTTCGTTATGGTGATGTTCAATATTAGTTATCTATCTACTATCACTTAATAATTATAATGATTAATTACTCTTAATAATTAAATTAAATACGCTTATATTAATTTTTTTATGATTTTAACAATTCTTTGTGTGACTCAAACCCCAGCAGATAAAATAAAAATGAAAAGAAAGGGACAATTTTGAAATTGCCCCTGAACATATTGTGTTTTCTCCATCCGGTTTTTAAACTTAAATTTTGAGTCAAAGTGAGTGTTGTTATCATATCATCGCCATACTCTTTTTGTGTTTAGCATTGGAAAAAAATAATTAGTACTACCACAATGGTGTTTATTTAGAATGTCAATTGAAAAAGGAACAACAATTTTCTTCTAAAATGTCAATTAAGAAATGAAAAACTATGATTTAGCTAGTTAAAAGATAAAATTAATAAAAAAAAATATTTAATTTCTCATGACTATCATCATATGTTAAAATCCTTTACTCATATGAAAAACAATATATAAGAAAAGCAACCATCATATGGTAACTGGTAGGAGCCAAGGCCATATATCTAATAATTTTTTTCCACTCAATAGTTCTATCTCAACTTCCCAATATATAGGCTAAGAAAATTGATTGTGTGATACTTCAAGTAATGGTCATAGCATGGAGGCTTGATTTCCTTAAAAAAAAAAATATTGGAAGGTTGGATTGAATAAACAAAATGAATTAAAGGACTAACTTGGATGTTATTTTAAAATTTAAAAGAATATCAGAAAGTTTGTTCGGGTTATTTGTTGCTGACTAATTGGCCAGATAACGAACCTGCGAGATTTGTTAACTTCTAGGGACACTGATTTCTAATTAGTTAATTAATCAATCAAATTCGAAGAATAAATCAGTTAACCAGTTACTGACTTCTGTTTTGAATTACAGGAACTTTGGGGGGTGGGAGATGTAAAACTTAGGGTTAGAAACCAATATCTTTTAATGCCTTGACACCTTTCCTTTTAGGGAGGTAGCCATTAATCCATTAGATGTTGAACTGTTAAGCGGGGACTCTAATTAGGTTGAAGATTCATGGTTTTATATAATAAATGTTGGTTTACTAAAGTGCAGTAATTTATAATTAACTTTTTTATCATTACAGTATTATTGTCATACCTTCAATTATTAATACTACACATTTTTATTTTAATTGATCAATATGCCTTTTAATTTATTAAGAAACAAAAAAATATAGATTTTTGAGAAAAAAAATATAATGTAACAATATAATAAACGATCATGTTAAAAAGATACAACATTAATTATTTAGAATACCACAATAATCCTATCTCGTGAGTACATATTTATTTATTATTTAATATTAAATGGCTTAAATTGAGTACATTATTGTCACAATTTTAATTATTAATGCTATTTTTTTAGGTTAATATACCTATAATTTTAATACATCTTTAATTTTAGTGTATATAAAAATGTAAACTATATTTAAAATAAATTAAAGAGTATAATCATTCGTTAGTATAAA